ACTTTGTTACCTGCAACAGTCAAAGCTTTGGCACCTTCTTTAGAATTGCACATAACAATTCAAGGTGGAAGGCAAGAGTCTTTTTGGCAATTGTAATGCAAAAAAAACCAAGGCCACCCTGAAAAAAAATTAGCCAATTGGAATAAAAGGATGCTTTAAGAACTAGTATAGAATGCGTAGTAGCCGCCCATGCCTTTTGAAGTGTCTTTGCTATAGTCCTCAGCGTTAATGTCCTCACATTTCATCGTCGGGGAATTTTCATTGCTGGAAGTGCTAGGGGAGAGCCGTCTTCTCTTACAAGCACCCGTGTAGACCCCAGAATCATTCGAATCTAGAGACTTTATGGAGGGTGGAGTCTCTATCCAGGATGAGCCCATTTCCTCTTTCACCTTCTCCTTGGAAAGCTGGTCTTCAGAGAAACCTGGAGGACTTGTTCTGGAGGTCCAAGGTAATCCTGTTGTCATTTTTCGCTGGTAAGAGCCCCTGCTTCCCCAGCCCGCCATGGATGGGAACGCCGGGTCAGGGTAGTACCCCAGAGCATGGGATGTCTGAAGGGGGAGGGATTTAATGCCGTAAGGGAGCAAGGTGCTAGGAGAATACTCCGTCTCATAGGAGTTCATGTCCAGTTTGTTGGCACTGGGCTGCTGCACAGGCGTTACAAACCACCGCTGAGGAGGGCTGGCCACCTCTTCGTTCTGCTGCGGGGAGAGCAAGCCGTTTGTCTGAGGGACGGTTCTTTCACTGTTGTAAAACCTGGCTGGGGGCAGGTTGTTGACAAACTGTTCTTGGAAGAACGGCTGCACGCTGTATCGGGCACCAGGGACGATCTGGTGGGATCTAGGAGAATCCGTGGGAGATGGAGTTAATCTGTCATTTTCTGAAGCTGTGTACATGCTACAACATAAAAGAGAAATACTGAGCGTTCTTCTTTACAATTCCAGGGTGACAGTAAGACAACACAAAAGCATAATCAGGAAGGAACAGAGTTATTTCTTAATTAGAATCACAACTAGGTTTAACTGGCTGGCTGTTCATTTTTATCCGATTTAACTGTTGTTTGTTTTTTCCTAGACCAGTATAAAATTTCTAGTACTACTGCTATGAGTACACAGTGTTCTCTGCCAGCCTACCCACTTTAAGTGAGGTGCAACACCTTCCTCTCAGAAGCCACACTTCTGGCTCCAGTTTGTCAAAGGCCATTTAACTCTAGAAAGTAAGCATTAGGCAAGTCTTCTGCCGAGAAGCTGAAGCAGCTGCCTGCTCAGTGGAGATACCTGATGGATTACTGCAAACTGCAGGCTAGCTGGGTTCTGCCAGTACAAATTTTCTACCAAAATTCAGAAGCTTGCTGGAAGACAGGTCATCAAGACAGCACAGTAACAACTCAAACAGACATTTAATGTCTTTGACAGGAGCGCATCAGCTAGCAAAGCTGACAGTAAAATACTCCTTCTGAAGTAGGGTCTAAAGAAGGACTCTTCCACACACACTTCAGCCCAGAGTCATGCCTCCTAGACAGAGATAGCTGCAAGAGAAGACAGAGGTGTACTTACGAGTCATAGTTGTCTCTGAAGCCTTTCGCAAAAGGATTATGGTCAATTTTGAGCTGGGTAATCTAAAAGTGAAAGCAGAGTATAAGATGAGATGTTGAACCCACAACATAATTTTATTCTTAATTGTCATTTTATACACCCACGCTTGCTTACATCAGTGTTTTGATATGCTGTAACTGCTATGAACTGCGTTTCAGGGAAAATAAATGTTTGAGTCTTTGAGGAATCGTTCAGATCTTCAACACCATCTTCAGTCACTTCCACAATATGAAGCCGGGGCTGGTACTTGTGTAGAGACTGCAATACTATCATCTAGAAGGAACCATGGAAGAGAAAAATCTTTAGACAAACTGCATCTAACATTAAACGATCTACTTCATAGCCTGACATTTTCTTCCTGTCAATTGTAATCTTTTGACTTGGGAATGGAACAATTTTAACAGTTAACAGGAGATGATTCACAGCTTGTAGCTCTGTTTCACTATGTTACTAATACGCTGAAACCTGTAAATGGAGGAAATCAAGAGCTATCAGCTACACTCCCACTTTTTGAGCAGCTCCGGAGATAGAGACGTTGGCTAAACTCAAAGAAATTCACACATCTATTTCTGACATTTAACTGCCTTCATAAGGAGAAGCAAAGAAAACAAGATCTACGATCCAGTTCAAGAAGGGAACAAG